CTGGTACTTGTGACTGTCATGGAGCGCACCATCAGAGGACAGGGCTTCACCAAAACCGAGAAGAGGCCTCTCAGGGAAATGGGCCCGCTGCTCTGGCCGCAGCCTCCGTGGCTGGGAAGCAGAGRGAAAGAACGGGAGAGGCGGGTTGGCCGGCTCCCACCAGGCCCCACTGAATGCCAACCTGAGGGATGGGTGGCGGGATTGAGGGCAAAGGGGAAACACGAGAGTTTCTCCAGCCAGAAGAAGCGTCATCAAGATCCCTGACGTGATGGGTCAGAGGAGAGTGGCCACGAAGCAGACGCAGGAGCCAGAGTGGCTCAGACCCCGGGTGAGCCAGAAACAAGGGTGTGGGAGGAGACGGAGGCTGGTGGAGGGGRTCGTCAGCCCCTGAGAGGCGGGATGGCAGTACAGCCGGATGGAGACGTCCAGAGAGCCGATGGGGAGGCCACACTCGCGCTGCCAGGGCTGCGGGGCTGATGGGACTCGCAGAACAACTAGGAAAAACCAGTCAGAACCAATAGCACAGCTAAGTTGCCCGAGGGATTTCCGGCTGGACCGGGGACACCTTAGGAGATGCCACCCTGGGAAACAGGGAAAGCAAGCAGCCTGGGAGCCCAGAGAAGAGCCAGATGTAGGACTCCGGGGATAACGGAAGAAAGGGCATCAGCTGCCACCACCCGGGGCTGAGACAGGAAGGGGAACTTCATGGGACAGCTGAGGAACTGGCACCCTTTTCTCTAGTTTCCACAGCCTGATATAATCCAAGACTGTAACGTGGGCTGCTTGAAGCAGCTGCCACAGCTGGGGCCAAGTGGCTCTGGCAGAGCAGCCGGAGACTCTTGCCTTGTCCTCTCCATGCTGAGCTCTCCGACTGTCCTGGAGAGAAACTGGCTGCTCTGCCCAGGGTGGTGGTCTGCACAACTCTCAAACAGGATTCCTCTTTCACTTTGCAGTCCTGGAACGTCTCACTTAGCCTCTTGCCTGCCGCCAGGCCGTCTAAATTAGATCAAAATCCGTCTTTATTTGAACGGCATCAGGGGCCATCCCTCAACTTTTGGTGGTCTGTTCTGTGACTTCTGAAAATCCTTGCCAAGGTCAACCAGAAAATGGGCCCCTATGACCCGAGTTTCTAAAAAGCACTCTTGAAAAATTGAGTAATGAGTCAATCAATAGGAAAAATAAAGTCAGAGATGGCTTCCTAAAGGACAGAGGGCAGGGTCATCTGCAGCTGAGGGAGTGCATTGTGGAGGTGGCAGCAGGCCAGCACCCTGGAGAGTGCTCGAGAGCCTTGCTTGGCACTGAGGGGCTCTACCCGGCCCAAGAGCAGGCACAGTGATGGACAAAGGGCATTTGTGCGGCCCTCTAGAAGGAACGTCAGGAAGCTGTTCATGAGGATCCACTGCCGTCAACATCCCGTCCTAGAACGGATGATCCTTGAGAAAGGGCATAGTGCTCAGAGACAAAGGGCGCCACCTGACCTCAGGGAGGCACGCAGAGAAGAGTGGGAGGGCAAAGAGGCACCGTGCAGAAAGAACCAGGAGGAAGCAGATGCCCGCAGCCATCGGGACCGCCTGGAGGCCCACAGGAGGTGTGGGGAAGGACCTTTAGCAKGTTTCATCTGTTGAGCAGCTCTTGGGGCCAGGCTCCAGATGGGCACCTGGACACAATAGCAGAACCCCCACAGAGGGAACCGCCCAGTGGGGTAGACAGGTGTGAGCAGCTGCAGCAGCATGAGAAAGGGGCCCCCAGAGGCAGAAAAACCCAGAGGGCTGGGGACACAGCTCAGAGGGGAGCACCTGCCTAGCACCTGGAGGCCCCGGATGTGAACCCCAGGACTGTAGGAAGGGAGGAAGGGGAGAAAGCGGGGAGGGAAGAGCCACGCGGGAAGCTCACGCAGCTCTTGCATTTCTGAGGACTTCCTCTGGGCTACGAACGTGCAGCGCTGCGGTGGCACCAAGAACTGAACGTTCAAGAATGATGACAGTCTCCAGAGAGGCACTTGAAAGGTACCTGCCATGCGGCAATCTGCTGAGACACAGACTTGGACGGGCTGCTTTGAGGCCAGGGAGCACCTGCCAGGAACACCGCTCGTGCGTGGACCCTACCCCAAACCGGCATTGTGTCCAGCATGGTTCAGCTCTTCCAGCACCTACACGGCAACTCTCGTCAGGTTGTCGTCGTGGGCTTACAGTCAGGGAAAGATGGAATTGATGAGGTGGGATATAAGACAATGAAATCAGGAGTCTATTTCAATGGGAAAATTTGAATATCTTTAGAAATTAYCTTGGCCCCGTATTTATAGAGCCATGAAGAACCTGAGAGAACTCCTTAGACTTTCCAGTTACATATTACTGCATTAGATATTGGAAATCATCTGTCGTGGTGACACTTATGATTTTGAAGACTCACTAAGGTCATGAATGGACCCTTCAAGAAAGTCAAGGGGGCAAGTCTGTGGATAATGAATTCATTTTAGTGACACTCTACTGGATATAATAAGGTCTAAAGTTTAAAAAATAAGGAATGTTCTCCCTTACATGATTTCCCTATAATCTGGGGAAAGCTATTGTTCTCTTTTCATTTAAGAGACTTAGCAGAAGCCGAGAGAAGACAAAGGAGATATTTATCCACAATACTGCAATGGACAAGTAACTTAATTGGAAATATGACCTAATTTCTTTTCTTTTGGTCTATTTCCTAGAACCTAACAACCACTAAAACTCATGACCCCTTCCCAAAATGACCCCCAAGCACCTCAAAYTTAACACCATTCGTCCACAAACCCAACTTGCGGCTGTTTGTCTCCTTCTGCCCACATATACTTAATTACCAAGTCTTTTGGAAACAGAGTTGATTCATACCTTCCTCCAGCATCTAATCAGCAAGTAAATCAAATCTACCTCCTAAATGACTCTCCAAGGCAGCCAGACCCCTGCAGCCCCACAGTGCTACCCAGCACAGAGCCAAATCATGCCTGAGACCCTGCTTTCCTATCCTCCACAATGATACAGACTAATTCTTCTCAAAAGCCAACTCTTGCTTTCAACAGCTTTTGCAGAATGTCCATCTCTGGTCCTATCAACAGCTGGTTCTTGGACGATGGTTCTGCTGTGTTGGTCCACACACCACATGGAGACGCACCTGGACTGTGAGCTGTTTTCTCCACTGAACACGCCACCTTTCACACCTATGTGTGTTGYGTTCCCAGCAGCTCATCCAACCCTACCCTTTCATCCTTGTCCTCTTGGCAAGCCTCCATCAGCTCTTCAGATCCCTTTCAGCTGTCACTGCTTCAGGAGAGGCATATGTAAATCTCAGACTCTCTTGTCTGGTCTTCCGTGGCACTGGACAGATGTCCCTATTAAGCATGTGTCACAGTTGAYTTAACAATTTGTTAACAAGTCTGTCTTCTCCAGCTTTCCGTGTGCTCTTGTCCAGCTTTGAATTCCTGGTACCCASCACGGTGCGTGGCTCCTGCCAGGCAGCAAGCCAGTGTGGATGATAAAAGGACTTACGATGGAGGTGAGATAAACTGAGAGTCAAGCCATCAAAGAGGGAAACTGCTTTTCTGTTAACTATAAAGTGAACCGAGGTAACAGAAAAGTTAAAATAAGGATGAAGAGTGGTTTTAGATCACAACCAATTTTTAAATTACTGGTCACATCTGTCCTAAAGACTAAGTCTAGCAGCCTCCTGCAGCCTGTTAGTGTATTTCACACTTGGGCATTAGGTCCAGCAATGTTCAATGCTCATGGAAGAAATACATAAAAAGAAGCTATTGGGTTTGAAACCTCAGTGTGAGAAGATGCCCAGTAAAAGTGTCTGCTAAATTTTCTTCCTGATGGCACGTTAGCAATAAGAGGCACATGGCAGTAGCCCAACGACACACAACATCCATGGTCTGTGGTGGCAGTTCCCACGGGTCAGCGGCAGCCAGACGCTTCATTCACGTTCACAGACAACTGTGGGGTGGCCACCTGTGCCAGTCACTCTGCAGCACTCTGGAGAAGCAAGACTAAAAGGGAACCCTAAGAGCCCAGGCTTTCTGTGGGGTATATGGGCTGCTACCAATGGTGCCCAGAATGTCAGGGTTGGGGACATAGGTCTGTGGTCGGCCATGGCATGCACCAGGCCCCAGGTCCAATGCCCAGCAGGGGCGTCTGTGTGTGCGGGGGCGGGGACATTCGTATAATTAATAGGTTACTACTGGATCCTGCCTGGTTCCCAAACGCTCTGAGTTTCCCCTGTCCTCGGCAGAGGCCGAGGCGGCCACCCCAAGGAGGCCGCGAGCGTCCCCACCCGGCTGGCCGCGCGGGGCACGGGCTCCCGGGGCTCCCGGGCCGGGCGAGCTGCGGTCCTGCTGGGGACCGTTTGGAGAGGCCGAGGTTCGAGCGCGGCGGGCCACCGCGGAGGCAGAGCCGGGCTCGCGCCCACCCGGACCCGGCGCTCCGGGCCGCGGTGCTGGGACCCGGTTCCCCGCGCGCGCGCTCGGGCGGGAGGAGGAGCTCCCGAGCGGCGGGGCCGGCCGAGGAGCGCCCCCGGCCCGGGCCGCACTTCCCCCGGCTCGCGACCCCGCTGCCCGCCGGCCCCKGCGCCCGCCGACCCTGGACAGCGCCCGCCACCTGCGCCGCGCCGCGCCCCGCCCCGCGCGCGGCCGCTGGGCTCGCGGCCCTTTAAACACCCCCGCCCCCCACCCGGACGGCAGCCGGCGAGGGACAAAACGCATGGCGCAAAGCCAGTGTCTTCCGCGCAGCTCGTCCCGGGCGGCCCCAGCCGCGGGCCCTCCACCCGGCCCCGGCCCCTGGCGCCCCCAGGCCGCGACGCCCGGCTTGGAGAGTCGGAGGCCCGGCCGCGGGGCGGGGCCGGCGGGAGCGCGATCTCCGCCGCCGCCGCCGCCGCTGCCTCCGCCTGCCGCTCGGGCCGCCCGCTCGCCGCCGCTGGGTGCGCTGCACGCGGGGGGCAGCGCGGTGCAGAGGTTCATGCAGCAGCAGCGGCGGCGGCGGCGGCGGCTGCTGCTGCTGCCGCCGCGGAGGCAGACAGACCGGGCGCTGCCGCCGCCGCCCTCCCCCGGCTCCATGCCGCCGCCGCCACCTCCTCTCCGGCGAGGGGCGGGGGGCTCCGGCCCCGGGTGGGCGCCACTCCGCGCAGCGCCGCTCCCCTCCCTGCCCTCCGCCTGGGCGCCGAAGCCGGCGAGGGCGCCCGCCGCCTCCTAGGAGCGCACGCTCCGCGCGCCCTACTGGAGCGAGGGGGCGGGCGTGGGCGGGCGTCCGGGCAGCCGGCTAGAGGAGGGGGCTTCCCCGAGGATGCCCGGCGGCCGCACCTCGCCCCAAGGCGCGAGCTGAGCGGACCTGGATCGAGCGGCGCGTCGCCATGCCGGCGTGACGGGCGCCCCCGGCTGCCCGCGCGGGCCCCCACACTGCCCCACGCCGAGCCGCGCCGGCGCCGGGCGGCAGGATGGGCTGTATCCAAAGCATCACCTGCAAGGCGCGGATCCGGCGCGAGAACATCGTGGTGTACGATGTGTGCGCCACCATCGACCAGTGCCCCACGCGCATCGAGGAGACCTCGCCCATCGTCCTGCGCTACAAGACCCCCTACTTCAAAGCCTCGGCCCGCGTGGTCATGCCCCCCATCCCCCGCCACGAGACCTGGGTGGTGGGCTGGATCCAGGCGTGCAACCAGATGGAGTTCTTCAACACCTACAGCGACCTGGGCATGTAAGCGACCCGCCGCGCGGCGCCGGAGCGGGGTGCTGGCCCCTGTCTCTGCCCTCCACCGCGACCCCCTCCCCAGTTCCTTCTTACCGCTGTCCCCATCCTCTTTCTGAACCTTCATCCCGCCTCCCCACCCACCTCCCTCCTCCCTGCGCTTTTGTCTCGGTGACTGGGCGGGGGTAAGGAGGCTTCTCGCGAAGGCATTTTTTTCGTGGCTTGCTTCTGACTCCTCAGAAACGCAGGGAGAACCGTGCGGGGCGGAAAGAAAGCGACCAGGAGGGTTCGAGGCGCAGAGGTGTGGGATAGCTGGAGAGTGCCCTGGAAGTTTCGGGGCGTCGTCGGTGTTTGCGGGGCTCCTCGGGAAGAGTCTGGGGGAGAAACGTAGAGAGGAATGGAATGGAGCGCGGGGGGCGCGAGGGCTGTGCCGCGCGTCCTTTGGAGAAACCCGAGCCGGCTTGGAGGAGAAGGTCCAGGGCGTCGGAACGGGAGTTGGTAGCTCTTGAATTCGAGCCCTGTGCCCTAGGCCGGGGATCGCCGAGGCATTATCCTCTGTCAGCGCAACCCCAGCTGAGCCTGCCGCCTCTCTGGCCCTGCGAYGAGTTCTGGGGCGTGAGGAGCTGGGAGGTGCCGGGCGGGTCCCCAACAGGGCTGGCGGCCTTGTGCCAGCAGCCGGCTGGCGCGGCGCTGGGTGTTTTTTATGATAAAGAAAGGATGAGTCTCTTTTCTGTCTGGGGTCTTTACTTTTGAAAACTTTCCGAATTGCTGTGCTGGAAGGAATTCCCCGATGCCCACCGCTGAGTCCGGTTGTCAAGCTGCAAGCTCTCCAACTTCTTTCAACCACGCGGGTGGGTGCGCGCGGGGTTTGGCGGCTGCGATGGAGACCCAGGATCTCCGCCGTGGGTTCCTTGGCCGCCAGGGGCCGACAGCCGGCCCTGGAACTGCAGGCTTCAGGCTGTCTCGGCCAGGACATTTTTAATTACTGAATTTTCATAACTCCCGCCTCCTTTGCAGGTGTGTACCCTGAGCAGTTGGTGACTACAGTGGCTAAAGGGCCCGGGGCCTGTATTCTACCTACTGTACAATGTAGGTCTAGAGCACCCTAATTAGCCSGTGGCCTGTAGGGGATCCCTTTTTCTGGAAATTCAACCTCATTTCATTTCTTAACCTAAAACTCTACAGCTCCAGGGTTTACCTATTTAATATGGATATGGGGTGGGGGAGTTCTCATTTTAAAAGGTCAAGGCATCTTTTTAGCAGCAGTTCGCAGGCTTTTCATTGCACTCTGAGAGCATGTAAGTTAACACTCGTCAGAGGCGCTAAAAGGAATTTTGACAGATCGTTTTGTCTCCTTTATTCCTCCCAGAGTTTGCACTTTTCTCTTTAAGCATAAAAGCTCAGTGCTGGAGAAAGCTCATTCCTGGTGAAGAAATGTGAATCCCAGTTTCCAAAATGCCTCTGCACACTGTGTTCCTGTCTTTCTGGAAGACAGTTAGATGTGAGAAATGGGGGACATGTTATTTTGGGTGAATCATGCCATTTAAAAAGACACACCCTCAAAAGAATAATTACATCTTAACACATGTGTCTTAAAACTGCCTTTGTTTTTTATGGAATTCATTCTTTCCAGCCAAGTCAGAGAAAGCCATGAACAGGGCAAAGGCCTGTCTCATCCCCGGGCCTCACCCCGATGGCAGTGAGGTGATCTTGCCAGGGGATAGTAACCATACCCCCCTCCCCCCCGCCCCCCCCCCCAGCCTGGAGCAGGAGGAGGCCAGGAGAGACTGAGCAGAAGCAGCCACACTTTTCCCAAGACTGCACAGTGGGGCTGTCTGTGGCCTCACATCTCTTATAAGTTAAAGTAAATATATAAATAAGTAACTCTCCAGAAAATGGGCCATGTATTCTTCCTCTTGAATCTAGAGGAGGGTGAGTTCACACTGGAACCAGTTTTCACGGGTGTAAATCAGAGACAGCATGTTCTCTGACCTTTCATCACTGAATTCTTGCATTTGGGGTTTGGGAAGAGAGTTTTGGATTTTTAACTGCAACTTTTGATATTTTAAGATTCCTGATTTTCATGTTGTTTGTGCAGGGGAACAAAAATAGGCCCCAAGAATACTAAACTGTGTTTTAGATCTGTGCCCGGAGCCCTCCTGTCTCTTCATGGCTGCAGTTATTGAGGGTGTTTAAGGCCACTGAGGAGCCCAGACTTTATTGAACCAATTTCCACAAAATGTTTATGCCCTGAAAACTTGGCCAATGGAAACTTTTTAATAGAAACTCATATTGCATGAGAGTTGTGGTGATGTGTTAGTTATGATGTTCACTGTAGCCAGTGCCTTGGGCGGGGGGGACACTGCAGGCCACATTTTCACTCCTTGTACTGTTCTGACCCTGAAGCATGACGTGGTGAAAGGTTTGGGTGAGAAACCTGCCTTTTTAATATTTTAAAAAGGATTTTGCCAGAGGCTACCCACAGCTTAAAATGGCAAGCAACCTCTGTTGACAAGGTTAGTGGAAGACAGGAGCTCTTACCGTCTAAATTTCCAACAAGAGGGAGGCTGGTAAAAGAGCCTTTGGAATAGTTGGTGGGCACCGTGGCTTAATTGGAACCTGAACTCAAGTGACTTGGCACTTTCTTGAATGACTGTACAGAAGACAGGCTGGTAGATGCCCCAGGCACCTGCTCTCCTCCTACCTGGGCCTGCTGGAGTCCATCAGTGAGTCCTTAAGCAGACCCACACAAGTTGGCACCCCCAGGCAGGACAGGTGCCATCAGTGGACACACACTTACCAGGTGCTTCTGGGATACAGGCACCATAAGGCCGAGGGAAGCCACAGAAGCCTCACTCCCCCGCCCCATGACGAGAGGCTGGGGGGGAGGCAGGCAGGTGGAGTGTGCCAGGTAGGTAGGGTCTGCAGGGAGGGCCTGGAAGAGAAGGTGGCGGCCAGATGTTGAGCACACAAAGGGTGCCGGGAGGCTCCCTGCCTTCTCCCAGCCCCTCGGGTACCAGGAGCTTTCCCACAGAGACTCATATTAACAGAAGCTCATGCTGCACGAGGGTTGCTGTGGTCTGCTAGCTGCCAGTCCCGTGTGTGGAAGAACACTGCCAAACACTGCCATGAGGGGTTTCCTGAGTGAGGAGTGAACAAGGAGTGGGGCTCTCTGTCAGGGGATGAAGCCGAGGGCCTTCCACGTGTTTCTCGGGCAGGAAGGGACTCTCCACGGGCTGCAGTTTGAAGACCTATGGCCTGGGCAAGACTTGAGGACGTCATGGCTCACTCCGCCTTCGGGAGCCAGCTCCTGTGTCTGCTCYTCCTGCAGAGCCCGTGGGTGAGGGTCTGACTCCACCACTGCTGCCTGTCCGCTGCCTTCCAGGCCGGTCCTCTCCAGCCTGACACTGTTCTGCTGTTTGTGATTCCACGGTCCCAAAGCCAGAGCCACTTTGGGAGGTGCTCCTTTCCACCACCATCCCAGGTGCTCAGCAGCTTCCTCTGTCTCCAGTCACCCCATCTTTAGTTCCACTCCATTTTCCCACTGTTCTCTGGGTCTTTCCTCAGGACACGGTTTATCACACCTGGACTCTGCCTGGCGGTCCCACCCACCCCAGTGGTAAGACAGGATGCACACCCTGTCCAGGTGTGCATGTCTGTGGCTGTCGGAGACTTCTCAGGCTCCAGTGTCCCCACCTGAACTCTCCACTGTGCTCCCACACGAAGTCACACGTCTGGCATCCCTCCTCTCCCAGTAAATGTCACCCCTACTTCCTGAGTTTCTCGGGCTCAAATCTGCGTCACCCCAAGTGCTTCCCCACATATCCAGTCCATCAGCCAACCCTACTGACCCTATCTGGGGACACAGCGAGGATCAGGCCACCACCTGCCCCATCACCGTCACAGGCCGCGTCCCCCTCCCCACCTATTCCTGCAGGAGCTTCCTAACTGAACTTGCCCCCCCATTCTTGCCCCCTCCGGTCTGTTTCCCACCGAGCAGGCAATCYTACGTGAAGGCCTGTCTAAACTTTCTAGAGACGTTCTATCGCAACGAAGGTAGAACTCAGAAGTCTCTTCCCCACCGAGGCTCGGCTCCCCATCTATGTCAGCCTTCTCCAGCTTTTCAAAGCCACCCACTTGTCTGCTCAGAACTTTCCCACGGGCCGCTCTCTGCCCCTAGTGCTCTTCCTGCTGCCCTGTTCCAGCCGGTTCTTGCCCCAGCCACCCCTCCGCAGGCGGTTCCTGGTTGCAGTTTCAGCAGGGTCCTCTGTTCTTGCCTTTCATGACACACTGTTCCTTGACTTGTTACAGCCAGTGAGAACATAATGGTGTATTCAGCTTCTGACTTGCCACTACAATATAAGCACCAATGAGATCAAATATTGTATCCACTTTCTTCTTTGGACTGGGGTCACCGAAGCAGATATTCAATACACATGTGACACAAGTAAATAAATGAGCCCTTATGATGACCGAGGGGTTGGTGTCCTCTYCCACAAGTCCTGTCTCTTGGGCCTTGGCTCTTCCTGTGAGCTGCAGTCTTGAACGGTTGACCCCCACAGTGGCTCAGGACCCATACGGTCAGCTCCGTGCAGCAGGCTGTTGTGTCTGGGTCCTCTGCGTCACCCTGGTTGGCCTGCGCCGCAGCCCGGGCCGTGCGCCTGCCACTCGCCATCTCCCTGCAGTGTGCTGTACTCCAGGAGAGCTGTTCAGCAAACACAGAAGCCTCACCCTCCCGTCACCTGCCTGCTAGCACGCAGCATGTGGTGTCTGGTCAAGGAAACGTGATGTAGAAACCTTGTTAGCCCCGTGCCTCCTGCATCCTGACTCCATGAGCCCGGGGACTTGGGCACCGGCTTCAGGGCCCAGCTTCGAGGCCTTCCCTGGTCACCTCCCAGCTGGGCCAGCACCCACCTTCTTGCATGGGCAGAAGGAGGGGCCTTGCTGTGGTAGACATGCCCCCTTTGGGCACTCCKCTCCTGAGGACGAGATCAGCCCATCCACCCAGG